ACAGCACCCCACCATTTACTTTACCCCATTTACTATACATTTTAATATTTATAAATGTACTTATGCTATACTATTTATATATTACTACATATATATATATATATATATATATATTATACTATATATATATATATATATATATATATATATATATATATATATATATATATATATAGTGTTACAGTGGTTGTGTATATCTGCATGTATGCCAAAGCAGCTCTCTATTAATATATATTAGTGTCAGTAGACCATGCAGCAGCAGCAGCAGCAGCAGTAGCAGTAGCAGTGGTAGTCTTGCCCCACCCCTGGCTGTAGCATCCATTCACTTCAGTTCAGAGACAGAAGGATCATTAGCGGCACAGGCAGGGAAGATATCTGCCTCCATAGATTGGATAATCCTGCCACCTAGTGGAAGTGTGTGACAGTGTAGCATGTTTACACGCGCTTCATGCATTAAAAATGTCTTTGTTTTCTTTCCCCCTCTATCCTGTCACCTGCAGTAAAGAGAGCAGAATGAACGGGCAGTATCAACAGACAGTTGATGTATTAAACAACGACAATAAGTGAGTACCTTGTGAAACCTGAAAATACAATGAACTGATTGAGTAACACTTCGTCATCAGCAGTTACACTGCTGCACTGTCAACGCCGGAGACATTTCTACTCTAGCACAGCAGCACATGCTAATGACCCGGGGCATCGGTCTGTGACTTCCCCAAATGAAATCAATTTGAAGCCGATTAAAAGCTGTTCAGTTTCCTTCATCCATGGCAGCTACAATAGCTTTAATTTTCCAGAACATTTGCTGGGAATTTACTGTCTTAATACAATTGACAGGTTCATTGTGGTAAAGACAAGAGGCAAAATGCATTGTGCTCTTTAGCATGTGGAAAATGCGCTACAAGAACAACAGTAAGAGTGTTTAGACAAACTCAAACACCCATGTATGAGAAGGTTAGTTTGGCATCAAAGAGAAGCCAGGCAACAGAACAAGAACAAATACAAAGGATGGATGATGATTAGGGATATTAATTCTTTTTCTTTAGGTATTCCTTGTTTGCTGTGGTCAACCACCAAGGCACATTAGAGAGTGGCCACTACACCAGCTTCATCCGCCAGCACAAGGACCAATGGTTCAAATGTGATGATGCCATAATCACCAAGGCCAGCATTAAGGATGTACTCGACAGCGAAGGGTAAGAATGGAAACAGATGTTAGAAACACTGTGAGGATACAGCGCGTCACCTGACTGAACCGTTTCCGTCTCTCCGTTTCAGGTATCTCTTATTCTACCATAAACAGTTCCTGGAGTACGAGTAGTCTCTGTGACCACTGACCTGAAGAACCACTGCTTCTGATGAGAGAGCCAAGGGACTGGGGACAGGATGAAACACAAACACACAAACCTACCTGAAACTCTTTTGACTACCAGTCTGCTCCTCCAGCTCTGGAGGACAAAAACAAACAAAAAAAGACGTGTGAAATCATGCAACCTTTCAACAGAAAAAAAAACAAGCACTGAGCTACTTCTTGGCATCTACTTGACAAAAAGAAACTGAATGAAGAGGAGAGAAGGAGGAAAAGTTGGGCGTTGTCAGTTCCAGGAGAGGGGAGAGGGGAGAGGCCCCACACCCCTCACTCTCTCTCCCTTTCCCTTCCTGCTGCAGGGGCAAACTCTGAGCACGACTGACTGTCATGTTGATTGGGCACATCCGGATTTTTCTTACAGTATTCTGACCCTAACCACACACACACACACACACACACACACTACACACACCACACACCCCACACACACACACCACACACAAACACAACCTCCATTTCTCTCCCATGGTGCTCTTGTTTCAACTGACCAAGCATTTAACTTAGTCACAATGGAAGACATGTTGTTGTCATATGCACTTGGGACTGAACGCAAAAAAAATTAAGAATACAAAACAAAATCAATGTATTATGAACTTTGCAAGAACATTTTTAAAGGTATGGTTATGATTCTTATCATTTGTGAATTTAGTTATGAAATACTGTATGAATCTAGTATACATCTATTTTTAAGAGCAAAGAAATCATGGGAGAGCTTAGAGATGCTGCCTTTGCCAGTTGCTGGGGAAGCGCTGCCATGGAAACTAAACAGATTTGGACCTGTGTGTGCTCATGTTCCATTATTTACTGTGTTGATTGTTTTATTTTTAAGTCTGGTTGAGGGCAGGGAATATCTCTATTTTTTTAGCAACTCATTGAATTTTTTGTTTACTGTTATTTTCACTGTCTTTTTTTTTTGTTTTCATTTTCAGTACGGTCATATGTCCCTCGCTGTCCTGGTACTGGAAATTCATTTTGGACGTATTATACTTTCATTCTTGTGGAATTGTTGGTATAACGATGGTGATGATTAAATTGGCTCATCTTTGCTGTTTATGAATTGTACGTTGAATGTGAGCTTTGGGTTTCATGCGGCATTCTGAAGAGAAGACATACAATCGACACGTGAACTCCTAGATGAGGTCCCTTATTATGCGACAGGGCTGTGGTCTCTCATCCTTAACACCTCGAATGCTCTGTGCAACAAAAGCCCATTTAACAACACTGCATGCGACCGGGCTTTTATGATGTGAAGAAATACCCTCAGTCACGCCTCCAGCATCAAGCTGCCCATCACAATTTTTTGCTCTGTCGTCTGTGAGTGGGAAAGCGACTATATAAGATTATATTAGGGGCTAAAAACACATTGCACGTATATGGGCACTGTGCAGCCACAGCCCGGCTCTGAATCCATCAGTGTTAATCTTCTCCATGGCAACTGTGCGGCTGGTGTCGACCGGTGTGGTTTGTGGTGTGTCTTGCCTCTGCAGTGCAGTAAACCCAGTGCTCTATTCAATCAGTATGCTGTCAAGTCAGACTTTAGATAATGCACATAAACATCAGGGTGTTGTGGTATGTTTATGTTTGAATATCACTGATTGTGTATGTATAAAAAAAAAAAAAAATACAGAATAAAAGATTTTCACTCATGTATAAGATGAGGGCCCTAACCTATCACAAAGTAATGCCACATTAAAAACCACATAACCCTGGTTTAGCTGCTCTGTAATTGAAAACAAAACATGCATATCCTTCGGTCTGCTGCAGAACCTCCGCTGGGGGACCACAGTGGCTTTTTCTGAACAGTAATATCAGAGACTTGTGAAACGGTCGCACTATGGTTGTGATGTATCGAGGAGCAGTTAAGGCCACCCGAGGACATTCAGGGACGCAGCTGAAACGAAGAGGAAGAGGAGAGCTTCATTATCCGTTTCAGTGATTAAACTCAGAACAAAACTGGAATGTGTATGTGCTGGTTTTTTTGTGTCATTTTTCCGTCCACGCTTCATTAGGGACGTATATTTCCCAGCGTTAATGCCACCTGTGTATTGTCATGGTAGAACCAGAGGAGACGGTAATGTGAACAGAAGCTATTTTTATTCTGAGCCGAACACATGTAAGTTGTGTATCTGAACTCAGCAGATGTAGTTATGCATTTGATTATGGCGCCACTTTGTGGTCGAAACAAGAAGCACACCACTCTTGGAAAAAAAAAAAAATCCAATCTGTGCACAAACCTGGGACGTAAACACAATCCAGCCTGAAAAATGTGAAGTTAATAAATTTATATTCCTTCAGTAAAGCAGCCTCACGTTAAAAGCTGTTTCCATACACTTATTACAGCAAAAAAAAAAATCCTAAAAGATTACATGTGATAAACTTGTATATTTATGACTTGTGACATGTTATTTTGGAAATGATTGTGATATGGAAAACTTTAATGTACACACATGTTGCAATCAATTAAAAGATTTTTCATTAAAATAATTGGGTTTTAATCTTAATATTTGGTACCTTACGATACATGAGCATTTACGTAACACTTTGTGTTCTTTATTTAGTTTCAACGCGGCTCTACACAATCTCTGCTCTGTCAGACCTGGTGTTTCAGTGTTATTCAACAGAACAAAAAATACATAATGCAAGTTTTTCTACACAAATACTACAACTTTGAATAATGCTTGTATTTTTTTTCAATTTTTTTTTTAATGAAAATGAAAAATAATCTGTTAACTTTGTCTCGACCAGGATTATGTGGACACAAACTTTCAAACAGCTGGATGACATTGTACAACTTATACATGTCCATAGTAAACAATGTCACAGTCAAGTTCTCTTTCTACAAAAACACATAAAACACAAACTATAATACAATATATACTGTTTAATAACACTGAGGAGTCTGGGTTCTGCTGCTGGATGGTGGTCTCTTTTATTTTGTCATTTTGTTCTTCAGTCGTCTGAACAATGTCTTTTTCATAAGTCATGCCCAGTGTCGTCGCTCTGTTATTTTTATGCTGATGAATTTAACCACGGGACCAACACTCTTGGTCACAGTTGCCATGGAGATATCGGACACTAGAGGTGTGTCGTGTCTTTCCGTGGTAATAAGCTGTTATAGGCCAAATTCAGCATCACTGCAGACACAGAAACTGGATATGAAGTTTCCATTCGTCATGGCTGGCAGCAATACGCACACACACACACATAAATATGCCCAGACGTACAGGTTTGGGCAGCTATTCATAATAGGACTTCCATTCATTGTGGACAGCCTAACCAAGTCTTTATCCCTTAAACATAACCAATTCATCCCAAACCCTAGTATTAACTTCCACAATTCCAATCTTACCTCCTAAACCTAACCAGGACCTCAGGACTACATGTTTGTCTTTTTAGGACCAGACAAGGTCTGAGTTAATGCTGGAAAATGTCCTTAAGAGGTCTCAAAAATAAAAACACACATAGGGTTACATTTCAATAACTGTTAATAATACAAAGTAATGAGACTACAGCAACACACAGTGAGTCACAGGAGGAACTGTGGACTCCCGGAGCAGCACAGTGACTGATACTTATGATGAGGGTGATAAAAGAACACCAGAGCCTTTTGAGGCTAAGTGTTCGAGAACAAATTCACAAATTCACATCTCTCAGACACCTCGGTGTCGGAAACTGCGCTCAGGACTGTGGCCCTTCCAAATGCCACTGATTATAACAAGAGGACGGGTCAGTGTCAGAATACTAAGCAGCTCTCTCTGGGAGGAGGCAGTAAAGTCCGTCCTACTCTGTGGAGGAGAAATCCAAAAGTCACAGCACAGAGATCACACGGAATAAACCTCAGCCTGCTGACATCACAACCACAGATGAGAGGAGGGAAACGGAAACAAAAACCAAACTGAACATGTGTTTGACCCAGATCAAATCCAAAACTCTCTCTCAGTCCTTCACTACTTTTGGGATGTTGTGCATCCTCTTCTGATAACTCAAACATCAGTCATCAGGTGACCTGTGACCTGTGACATACACCACAGCCCTGGGGACATTTGGCCATGAAACACTGCATGTTTGATAAAGATCAGTAACAAAGACAGAACGTTAAATATTACACAATATCTATTATAAAATGGTGGATGAGCCGTGGTAAAGAACAGTCACCAACATGAGTCACAAACAACAATATTTATACAACATTGTAGTTTCTGTACATCTTAGCAGCACTTTGGTTAGAGGCTGGCTTTGTCGATTGACCGAGCCGGCAACAATTTATTGAACATAAATTATAAACACGGAATGAAACAGCAAGAAATGACACAGCACTAAATATCTGTAAACTCACTCAACACTGGTATTCACAGTTACACTTGATACAATTAAACTGCTCACACGAATTAATAAAGAGAAATCGTCTCCTCGCAGAAGATGAGAATCAATGACACTGACATTCATTGGCCTGGAAACACCATTACTTATTTACAAGAGTTTGAAATACCCCCCAAAAAAAAGACTTTGTGTTCAATGTGTTTGTCCATTTTCTTTTTACAGTTATTTAAATTCATCACCAAGCTGCAGATGAGACAGGAACTGAATAGTGGAATGACACCTTTAACAGTTTTAGCATCCTACACTGAAATGTTATTTCTACACAACAAAACACGAGTGAGGCTCGACAGAGACCGTCTGCTGTAGTTTATGATCCTTTGTCTCCAAGAAGATGATCATGTCACCCAAGGGACCATTTGCATTTATCTTCCATTCAAACAGAAATCATTCATTTCATTCTTGCTTGTGAGTGTGTTAGAATGTATCTTTTTGATGTTGTTCATTTATGTTTGTGCTTTTCCCTCCTTGATAAGTGATAAGTTCCCCTCTGAACTCTTCGTTTAATATTCAATGATGTCCCCTCTGGTGTGATCTTAGAGGGACTGTTTCCACTTCCACAGAGAGAGAGGGCTGTCTGCGTGTCCTTCCTCTCAGATGCTGGTCTGCAGGTCGCCGTTCAGCAGCGTACTCTGCGTCTCCGTCGGGTCGTTCATCATGCGAGATTTATCCTGCCGGCTATCGCTGCGATCGACCTCATCCAGCCCTCCCACCTTCTTAAGGCAGAGCACATTCTGGAAACTTTTCTTGAAATTCTCCGAGAGGAACGCGTAGAGGATGGGGTTGGCGCAGCTGTTGGCGTACCCTAGCACCACCACGAAAGCAAACGTGCTCCTCAGGATGGGGGTGGTGCTGATGGTGCCCGTTACTGAGGTGACGTTGAAGATGTAGAAGGGCAGCCAGCAGAAGACGAACACCGCCACCACGATGGACACCATGCGAGTCACCTTCCGCTCGGAGCGCTTCCTCTTGGAGGAGCCCACGCGGATGCCTGACGACTTCACCTTGATGATGATGAACAAGTAGCAGAGGCAGATGACCATGAGCGGCAGGAAGAAGCCCAGGATGAAGGTGTAGAACATGAAAGCTGTGTAGTAGGCCTCTTGAGGCTCAGGCCACACGATGGTGCAGAAGCAGCCGTTGTGCTTTGTGATGATGCCGCTGTAGATGACGATGGGAATGTTAACCAACAGCGACACCCCCCACACTGCTAAGTTGATTGTCTTGGCCATTCGAGGTTTGCGCCACTTCGTGGACTTGATCGGATGCACCACGGCCAGGTACCGGTCGATGCTCATCACCATCAGGCAGAAGATGGATGTGAACTGGTTCAGGGAGTCCACGGTCATCACCACCCTGCAGAGCACGGGACCAAAGGGCCAGTGGACGAGCGCCAACTGGATGGCGATGAACGGCAGGCCCAGCATGAAGAGCACGTCGGCCACCGCCAGGTTGAGGATGTAGATGTTGGTGACTGTCTTCATCTTGGCATAGCGCAGGATGACGTAGATGACGAGAGCGTTTCCGCAGAGCCCCACGGTGCAAACCAAAAAGTAGAGGCAGGTGATGATCACCGTGCTGATTTGGTTGAAGCTGTGGTCTGTGTAGTTCCCGTGGAGCTCAGACTCATTCCCCTGCATGAAGCTGTCATACATGAGGTGGTCCGAAAGGTTCGGGGGGGATGACGCAAAGATCAAGGAGTCCATGGTTCCTCAGTCTCTCTCTGTCTCACACCAGTTATGGCATCCCACCTGAAACATGAAGACCTGCTGTCAGTAACTTTGAAATTACCTCAATATTTTATATCGACAGTGGCGTCATAAACAACAGCTTTACTTATGGAAACAGTTCCTATGGGGATTTTATAGATTTCACATCTTGGTCCTCTCTCTTGAGAACAGGCCTGATTGATAGCACGTGTAAACAAAAAAAAAGGATCGAAGGCAAAGATTTCTCCCTGAGGCCAAACCTTCCCCATGTGTTTATTCAGCCTGACGCTGCTGCCGAGGGAAATCACACTCCACACCCCACAGTCATACGCTCTCCCCGGGGAAATGCTTGCCCTTCACATGCTGCTAAATGATCAGCTGTGAACGGCTGCACAGAATTCCTTGCTGACACGTTTTCTTCCAATTTATTAGGGGGTGGGCACGGATGTAAATTAATCCCAGCCTAAGTAATTGAATGAGGGGCAATCACTGTACTTGCCGCTCCGCAGTCAGATTGAAGTGCTCGTCATTGCCAGTGCACGGGAGGCAAACACGGTCTGACAACTTAGTTTGGTGCCAATAACATAAGAGGTTTATTTTGACACTTTATCATTCTCACCCAGCAGCAGCAGCATTGGAACGACAAGGCCTAAAGTCCTGCTTGAGCTAAATGTTAAAGTAAAGGTCTGAACTCTGTGGCAGTCCCTTTGTGCCGTACTGCTCGCTGTGTGAGTCAGTTGGATGGACAGAGTATTGCATAATGTAACAGTTGGAAACACATTGAGAGATTCTTGTCTGCATGAGATCAACAAGCACATAGATGATTATCCCCAAAGGAAACAAAACAGGACAAACATAATGATGCTCTCTTTTCAGTTGCTGGGGTGAACCACAAATAGAATTGTTTACAAATCACTGATCAATGTCTGTGGGAGTATTTTATACTGAATTATGTAATATTAATTTGGTAAACTGTGTGAAGTATCCTCCCTCTAATAAAACCAAAGAGCCAGCACAGTAAAAATAAATTATAAATCTTGTTTCCCATCAAGCCAACTGGTGAAAAACTATTTTAATACAAAAAGTACCTACTTTAACTTCTTTATTTTCTGTGGGGGTTCCTCTCCTGCTGTGAGCTCAAGGCCATGGAATCTGCTCTAACTTTTGATTTTAGCTACAAAAAGGAGGATGGGTATGCAGCTGAATAAATCATCACATCGTAGCTAAATCCTACCTGTGGAAAATAAAGTGAGATTTGAGGTCGAGTCAGGAATTCCGATGTTAGTAAACTCTGCAAAAAACCGAGATGAAGATTTTAGATTCAATGAAATTGTCTGTTACAATAAATATGCAAAAAAAAAATCATCGTGTTACTGGTTAAGATCAAAACAGTGGGACACAAGGGGATGCCTGTTTAAATTGACCGCATCAGTTATCACATTATCCGGTTCATGCATTGTGTTGTTCATCACCGTTCACAACCAAAGTGTCGTCTTACCTGCTCAGTTGTAGTTTACGGGAGATTCGTCTTTTCCATCTTTAGATATTCCTCAAGTTTGTCTCGCCGGAGTGGAAGAGCTCTCTGAAACGTGGATAACCCCACAGTGTAGACTGCGTTACAGGCGAGGAGGACGCAAAGCACAAGTGAATATTTGTACAACCGCCTCTGACTGGACTCGAATTGAAGCTGAGACAAGGCGCTCGTGGCGAGATGCGCGCTGCGACCGTCTCCGGCTGGTGAGAGCGCGCAGGGATGTGGAGGGACGCACATGACGCCGAGGAGGTGCTCCTCCACACTCACCCCCTCAGCGAGAGAGAGACTGTGAGATACAGATACACCCAGTCCTACAGATGGATTGGAGCGGAGCCCTTTGCTATGTGGCACCTTGATAGATAACGCGCCCTGTGGCAGCCTGATGGAGGAAGGCAAACATTTTGATAGTGTGCAAGTTGAGCCGACAGCTAGTTTCTAAGTGGTAAATTCAAACTAACACACCAAATTAACCAATTTAGTGAAAACAGAGCTCTATATGCTATATATAGTCTCAGGGGACATTCGCGTAATTCGTGCGCAAAGCTTGTTCCGTGCGTTTCACCTCTTGATTCTCTGTGATTGACTCTCTTTTAAAACCCTGCTCATGTTCTCATGTCCCCCTTTAACCAAGTGGACTTGCAAAATGTGTCAATGTTCAAAACATGACCAACTTGTCAAACTTACCGAATTAAAGACATTTTACGCACAACACATCCTCCAGCTTGTGTCTCTTTTCTATAGTTCTTTACATTTAAACGAATTCAGTTGATATATCTTTGGGGTCTTCAAATAAATCCGAACTAAAACCCACCAATGCCTCCAGTGGCGAGAAGCTGTGTTGCCGGTGGAACATGTAATTTGCCTCCAGCCATCAGAGGCAGCACTGAGCGTAAAGACGCAGAGCGACGCTCAAATTACGCGCAGTGAAAACCAACCACCCTCGATCACAGCAGCGTGGTTTGACTTGAATGACAGGCAGGTTTATAAAAAGGTTTTGGAGGCTGTTATCTTCGAGTTACATGAAGTTCTCTCCATGTGGCACATTTGCTGCAACTCTCCTCAAATCAGGAGTTCCTGATTTCCTCCAGACAGATGATCATGATGACCGATGGTTAAATCCAACCTGGCTGAGGGCCTACACGTCCATGTTGTTTAACACCTGAGCTTCTGCCAGACATCCTTCAGTTTTCGGTGAGTGAGCCATCAGATAAATTCCCTGTCTCTCGATTTAGATATATTGATGTGTTCATGCAAATGAAATTAATGGGTTGATTGAAGAAAAATACTGTTTCTCATGTCGTTTTTCATGTTGTGTTGCATTTTGGTATTTCCTGTGGTACAGTGAGTGTCTCGTCTTGAGTTTCAACTGCTCATCATTGCACTATGCAGATAAGGAAACCCTCTAATAAACTGCAAGCGAATGACCACCAGGGAAATTATACAAAGCACTGGTTAATTGGATGGCACACGTTTGTCTCCAGCTGTATAAAGGTTGATGTGCCAGGTCCAGGTAGATATGCACTCAACACATCCTCCTCTGTAACCTTCTATCATGGTTTCAAATTCACAGGTAATGTGTTCAATATCGGTTTATTGAATTACAACTTGATATAGCTGCAACCCGTGAACACAGATATTTTGGTTTTGCAATGTCGACACGACTCACATAAGTTAAACACTGATGAAATGCACAGTGCGGCCCTGCATGTGTGTGTGTTTGCGCTCAATGAGCTCACTGGTCCAGAACGTTTCAGATCACGACAGCAGCACCGACGTTGTCATTACTGGAAAGACCTTGTGCGTACTTGTTTTTCAAAGGGTTTCTCCAGAGCCAGGCCAAACAACAATGAGAGCAATCATCTCTTACATACAGGTCGAGTAGTGTACAGCTGTTTTAAATATAGCTGTTATAAATGCTCTTTTTAAATGCACTGGTGTTGGACCAGTGCATTTACGAAAGGTCCAGGTGTAAGAATCGGGAAGGGACGAAAGTTATTGGAACTCACAGGGTTTCCTTGACTGTCCAGCCCTGCTTAATGCATTTCACACTATTTAGTTATTTAGGCTTTGCAATATCAATAACATCAAATCTCCCATAAATAATTCAGTGAAAATAAGGAACTTGAGCCCTGTGTTATTAATAGATGCTTTTTCCTTGTCTGTGCCTTTTTTTATTTTTTATTTTTTTAAAGTCACTGGAGCCCAATAAACTCTGACTGATTCCACATGGTTGTTTGCCCAAAAATTGAGAAACAATTGCACAGAATGATGGAAGCCACTGGAAGTTTCTCCCTCCCTCTGTGCGGCGGTTTTGTGTTTACATGAACGCTGTACGGAGCGGCTGGAAAAAGGTCACTGGGGAAATTAAACAGATTAAGTAGGGAAAGCAGTAATTTATTAGAAGTTCTCCGGCCGCAAGGGGCAATCAATGTCCCAATAATTAGAATTCTGTTGAATGCAATATGGGTAATTTAAAGTGACGTAATCATTTTAATCTGACATTTTAACTAGATATGTTCTCACTCACCTTCCTGGGAAGTCAGGACGGGTTGAAATATATAAATAAGTGTTGGATCCGAGTGGAACGAGTGAACCAATACATATTGGTGCTTATTGACATCTGGTGTGGAAGTTTGATGGTGCTCTGGTCTTTATTTGCTTTTTAATCACTGAGGCGTGATCAAGAACCTGTCTGGTTCTGGCCCTGGACTAAAATCATTGATTATACCGCCTGGAGTTAAATTGACAAACTATTAGTGGCCGGGGCGGTTGCAAAATACTCATGTGGCTCCTACTTATGCTTTTGGCATTTTTGTAATGATTTTACTATGAGAGGAATAATTTAACCGGGTGAACTGGGACATATTGCAGCAATATATAAGCACTGAACAGTATTATTTTCGTTGGTGGCCTCAGGGTAACCTTCTCTCATTTTTAGATTGATCCAGAGAAGAATGGGACTTAAAGTTGGAGGATTTTGCTTCGAAGAACTGTGCCTTGTTTTTACTGCCTCTGGGGTTTGGGCAGATTTGTGATATATATAATTCATGCTTGCATATAACAAGTGTCCTTCCCTAATTGAAATGTCACATATATTCATGATTTTCTGTCAAGTTACCTCTTGATGAGGTGATCCACTTCAAATATTGTTTCTGTCTCATTCTTGGTTGTGATATTTGCCCTTTTGTGGCTAAATGCATATCAAAATGATGAAATGTTATCTGTCAATAGATAATTATTGTTTTCATTGCTGTTTGTCTGTATGTTGGCAGGATTAAGCAAAAACTACTGAACTTATTTTATTGTTTATGGGCCAAGGAAGAACCCATTAACTTTTGGAGTGGATTTGATTAAAGGAGTGGATCCAGGATTTTCTTTTTCACTTTCTTTATGATTGTGATATATGGTCACTCTCCAAGATCCCTTCCAGTTTTTAATTTGCATTTGAAAGAAAAACTCAATGAGAATGAAATGGAAAATTCTAACAACACTTGCCAACCTATAATAATGTAAATGATCATGCAAGCTACCCAAGTGGATGTCTTTCAGCCCAAAACTGAAAAATACCTTACTATAAAAAAGCTGGAAGTCTTTCCAGGGACCAGATACTTTATCGTCAAATAGTGATCATTACATTTTCTGTTGAGCAACTTGATGATTCATTCTTTCCTATCACCTCAGAGTATAATTATGCTTCTCTGGTTTGCATGTGTCTTCATCTTCATTTCTTTTGAAGTACTGAAGCATAAATATATTTTGTCCAGTGATTTAATCATCAGAGTTGTTGTCCCCTTATGAATCTGCACGCAGCCTTAGATCCTCAGGTGGAGCCCTGCTCACTGCTTTTTATGTGTTCATGTCACACAGCTCTTTATTTATTCATTTAATTTGAACACAACCTTGTTTCCGACCACCTAAACGTGGTTGTCTGGCCTCCTTGTCAAATCCTGCTGATTGTTATTTCTCATATATTTATTTTTCTTGCTTTGCTCTCAAAGCACTTTGTAAACCCTATTTTTAAAAAGTAATATATAATTAAAGTGTATGTAATTGAAACAATACAACTTCTGTAAAGGTATAAGATCGTCTTTTCAAAATAAATATTTTAGAGGTGTGCTGATGTTCTAAATTCGTTTTTTGCTCTTTTTTTTTGTGGCCTAAAATGTCAACCCACAATCATGCTACTTGATTGTGACTCTTATCAACCTGTACAGTCTGCTCCATGTGTGCTCTTTACACATCGCTGTTTATTTACATACACAGAGTCTGGCTGCTGTGATAAAGCCCGCCGAGGCTAACTCCAGCTCCTAGGAGACACAGCTGCAGTGACCAGGTGATTCTGGAGGAGGATGTTGATCCGATCCATCGTTGGTATTTTTCGAGTTGTTTTGCTCAAAAGTGACATGAGAGATGGAGACGCTGCGGACACCGGTCGTACTTTCTTGGATGTGTCCCTCATATCTTTGATTGTGGAACACGCCCTTCACATAACTGTCTTGATCTCTGAGACATTTTTAGATATTTTTAGCGTTTGTGACATAACCTTCTCTAGCAGTGGAATAAAATGTTCATGAACACCAGCTCTGAGGAGTTCATAATGTGCAGTCTCTTTCAAGGCTGTGTCGTGCAGTGGTGTTCTAATATTTTGGTACTTATATCAGTCATCCTTCACTGGCTCTTAATGGATCTTCTGCATTGCTGAACATACTTCTGCCATATTTTGAATCTATTCTACAAAGTTTTATTTTGGTGCCTGATACTGAGTCAGTCCTTGGAGATGTGATGAGTTTGGATTTCTGAAGAAAATTGGGTTAAAAATACAAACAGAAAAAGACATCCGTCCAACTGAGCGGAATATTTAGGACACGTCCGTACACTGACATGAACCACTTCTGCTTCTTGCAGGCACAGATGTGGTCCCACGCTGGGACCAAGCAGCCTGGGTCCCTACAGAAACATCTGGAATCTGACACATAAATATGAACTAATTCCACAATTTCCATAATGGATGCACTGATGACGTCTGACAAATTAAAATGTTGAATCCAAAATGGATTACACATTAATCTGAATGGCTGTAAAATTGGATTTTAAATCCTCTTGTTGAGGTGAAACTTAAAATCTATAATGTGACATTAAAATGTCTGAAAACCACTTGACCTATCTTATATATGTTGTTGGCC